TTATACAAAAATTGTAGATATGTTGCATCAACATGGAGTTTGAAAACTAAAACAGCCCAGTGGGGTGACACTAGATAGGCCACATCCGGTCCTTTATTCAAATTCCATACAGTAGCCAATCAGAGCTCAGAGCGACGCCATATACATCTGTACTTACACCAAACTCGCTCAAGCGGACAAGCGGTGAACTACTTATTCATTTTGAAATTTTCCGCGGAACGAGGCCGCGTGTGTATGCCCATGTATTCCTTCTCACGGACATGCGTTGACGTGCATTCGGTAGGGCACCGTTAAGGCCGTTTTGCATTTGGAGGAATTAATGAGTTTACTGCTTTGTGATGTCTGAAACGTGCATTATGGCTACGAGAAGATGCTGCGGTGCCTAATTGCAAAAATGCCCAAACCTTAAATTAGCTATTAAAAACCTTATTGGGGTCCCAAGAAACGTGAAAAAGTGAGTTACATTACTATTATCTTTCGTTTTTAGTATGTAGTTTGTTGATAATACTGCTTATGTATTATAATTATGTTGAAAGGTGTCGAGAGTAATATACTTATGCTTTAGATGTAGAGAATGCATATAAGGCAATGTGGACTCTGCTCTCGCTAAATGTACTGTGACAGCACCGCACAAGAAGTAATTTATGTGTAAGGAACGTTTTCCTGGAACAGCATATATCTGCGACTCAAAGACGTATGATAATGCTGTCTCCAGAAAATTATCCGAAATCACCAACATCTCCTTAGTGAAGAAGCATTGGGAGATTTTTGATGGCGAGCGTTCCCAGTGAAAGGCGAGTACGTTCTTCATTTTTCAAATGTGTATTTCAGATAGTTCAATAGTCATAAAAGTGATCTCCAATGTTTATTTCTTTTCCAGATATCCACATTCAAAGTGCCACCTCCGTATGTCAGTGGATGTTATCTCATGGTGAGAATTATTTTTCAATAGAAAGAAAATAGTAATTTACTTGTATCAGAGAAAACAGTTGTGTGACAATGATGCATTGTCATAAAATAGTAAAATAATTCTAAACAATTGTTTTCTCAGCATCAGATTTACTTTTCAGAGCCTTCTATAGAAGTGGCGCAGTTTGCTCTAAATCCAGGTTACACGTAGATGTAAATTTTTGATACTTCATTAAAAATCTAGAATACTTACAATGTAGGTTGATAATTTCATTTGGTTCACAGAAAACTAATGCGCAATGGCATGGTTCTCTGCAGAAAGTGTGCCTGGCTACATTTGCCTGCCATATCATGCGTGTTTGCCTTGAAAGTGCACTCAAAATAATTCAATTGCTAAATTGTTGGAATTTCTTTTTAAATGTGTTATGTTCATTTGCAGATCCCTTTTTGCGACCAACTGAGGTGACACCCACTATAGCTACGGGTCTAAATGGTATGATTTTTTGAAAAGAATGATTAGTAGATTATAGATTTTTAATGGTAATATATTTTATAGTTTTAGAGAATAAGTGTTTGATGGGAGTCTATCTTTCGAGCATTTTTAAGTTCAGATCCTTGTACTTCAGGCAGCTCTTCAAACTGAAAAAATGAAGTTATTGTATGTTGTGTAATGCAAAAATAAACATGCTATTAAAAGCTATAATGTGTATTTCATTAATAATGGTTGTTTGATTAATACAGCGGTCCTAGTGCTGTTGGCATGCTGCTACAGACAGTTGCTAGGCAGCATGCTTATGTAGCCTTGTAAAAGGTAAACATTTGCGAATAACCTTAAGGATCTCCAATTATACTTTGTTGTATTTATGAAGATGGAAGTATAGATTTTCAAGTTTGTCTCCAATTTTCAATCTTTTACACCCATGTGAGGTTGTTCACCTCTTAGATGTTTCTCGTGGTATGTTCCTTTCAATATACATTATTAGTGCCTATGCAGGTACATTATTAGTAAAAAAATAAACTTTTATTTGAATGGTGTTACAGATCCTTGGTTACTGAACATATGCAAGAAACCATTCTGGGGAGAAGAATCTGGCATCTCGGCTATGTGGTAAGTGCAAGATATTCCTATGCCTTTTCTAATTTTGAATTCTAGATGTGAAGTAAAAAAACCTTTTCTGTTTTGATACTGGATTGTTATCAGAACATTCATTTTGAGACATGTTATATTTTCTTAACAGCATTTTTCTCTTTCCGATCCTCTTCCAGAGATGGCTTCTGAAGCATGCCATATTGGACACCCTACTAGTTTGGGAAACCCTATGTGACAGTGTTTGCCTAGGAAAGTGCATTTCAAAGAATTCAATCGTAAAATGTGGAAATCTTTTTAATGTTCATGTTCATTTTCAGATTCTTTGTTTGGACCAACCAAGTGACACCCAACTGAGCAATGGATGTAATTGGTAAGACGTTTTTAATAGAATCATGCCTTAATAGAAATATATTTTTATAGAGCTTTTTAGTAGTAGAAAGATAGAGCTTTAATAGAATATATTTTTATTAGTTTTAGTAGAATATTATAGTTTGATGGCAGCCATATCTTTCGAGCATTTTTTAATTTCAGATCCTTGTACTCAGGCAAGCCTCTTCAAACGAAAATGGTAGTTACTTGTATGTGTGTTGCACTTGTATGACAAAGAAGCATTGCTATTAAAAGCATAATGTATTCGTACAAGGTGTTACAATTTTGCTTCCCGCCGTTTTTCAATAGTTGGCTACAGTTGGTAACGGTCGCGATAAACAGATCGCATACTTCTGGCAGTTTAAGCTGTGAGCTTCGCCAACATAACCCCATTCAAACGTTAGTGGATTTGTGCTGTGCAACGTAACGTTGTTCGCGATTGAAATGTCAGTGTACGAGCCGAATTCTCGTTATTTGCTGGAGGCTCTGCTTTTTTTGTTTTCCAATATGATGAAAACTGCGGCTGCAGTCTTCATCGAATGCTCTCCAGTACTTATGTTGCAGGACTTGTATTTAGTGAGGAAACGTGTTGCATGGTTTCAACCGCTTTCAGGAATGGTGACTTTTAACCGATGGAAGACGGCATAGTGGCCGAAAGAGTGAAGTTTTTGAGGATGCAGATTGGGAGGCATTTGCTGAGTGAAGGCTCGCGTTCAAACTCAAGAAACTAGGCACGATCATTGGGAGTGCACACAGCAAGCCATTTCAAAACGTCTCAAAGCCAGGGTATGATCAGAAGAAGGAACTTGGGTCCCATATAGTTGAAACGAGAGACATTGAAAAGGCTTTTTGTTTTGAACAGTTGCTTCAGAGGCCAAAAAACGACTGTGTTTTTCTGGAGCATCGTGTTGTGACCGGGACGAAAAAGGGGTTCATTACGATAAACCAAAACGGAAAAATCATGGGGGTATTTCCCGGGCCATGCTTTCCCCACGTCGACGAGCCCAAACCGAACATTCAGGGTCCCAAGAATCATAGCTCTTGCATTTGGCGTGCGGACCAGCTCGGCGTCGTGGTGACCATGAGCTTTTAAAACCAAGTTGAAACAAAAATCACAGGTGAATCGATATCGAACCGCAATTAATGCGTTCTTTGAGCCGAAGCATGAAAGACAAACGCCCGCAATTTACAGCGAGAGGCACCGGATTTAACGGTGATTTTGCTGCATGACCCAATGCTAGCCCCATGTTGCAAGGAGTTGTTCAAAACGTACCTTGGAAAAAAAAAACGTTTGAAAATTGTACGCCTAACCCCACCGCCGATTCTCCCAGGGACGGTTGCTCCTCTGATTATCCAACCCCTTGTTTTTCCGGATTTCCCAATGGCCCCGGCCATTCTCCCTTTTTTTTCTTCCCCTTTTTTTTTCCGAAAGCTCAATAATGATTTATTAGGGTAATATATTTTTAGTTAATGTATTTGTTAGATAAATTTATTCTCTTGGAAGGAAAGGACAAAAACACGAAGAAAGGTAGAGCATAAAACCAGTGAGCCGCCCAAAAATGGGACAACCATAGGGCGGCCACACAAAACACGAATACACAAGAAAACATGGAAAACTACGGCGGAAGAGCTCCCCCACAGGAGCAGGCCGCCAAACGAAGGAAACGTAGGAGGTTTACCTGGCAGCAGTACGCTCTGAAGAAGGCCACTATACGCTGGCCGAAACGTTAGCCACCATGACATCGACGCGGCTCGTCCCGGATAGCCCAGCCAACAGAACGCATTTCACTTTTGTGAAAATAAAATTTACATGTAAATGTTATTTTAGAAGTATCATTCCCTCTTCCTACTGGCATGAATGCTGTGCATCAGAATCGATGCAAATGGCCACATCAAGTCCTTATTTTCTCTTTGCGCATTAAATTGATCGTGCGCATCATAAGCGCTCACGCATTGTTGTGACTGAAATTGATTTATACCGTAAAATTAAGTTTTATTAATCATTTACGATTCATTTTGAGTGAAATTACAAAATAAAGAGTGGTCTTTGCCAGTTCACGAAGCATCGCAAACTGTTCACATAGAAAGTCCACAATCGCACTATATACATATTCTTGTACTAATAAATTGGTAAAGAGGTCAATTGATAGTGACAAAACATCAGCATTGTGTAATAATAAAGGAAATTGAATAAGTTGAGTTAGTTTTTAGTAATTCAGTGTTTCGCAAGATTATACAAAATTGTAGATATGTCGCATCAACATGGAGTTTGAAAACTAAAACAGCCTATTCATTAAACATCATCAAACTATTGTTTCACATCTTTCTCTATTTTCAGAAGAGGCTCGATCTAAGTGGAAAAACCTTCGAGACACCTACAGAAAATAATTAAATGAAGTGAACAAATGTACTTCTGGCGATGCTGGAGGCCAACCGAAGACCTACACATGGCCATTTTTCGATATGCAAAATTTTGTTAACGAAGAAATGCCTTCCAGCGAAACCTCGTCGAATGTGAAGACGGACGAGAGAGAAGAGACGAGAAGTAAGAACAAAAGGACCTCCCGATCGGAGGCACTGCAGTAACATCAGTTGATGCCCTGAACCACCTCTCCCGTGTTTATTTAAATTAACATTTCATGTTCTCGTTTTATTACACATTTTAAGTAAGTTATTCTTTCCTTAACTTTTCTTGGCTCACCCTACGCACATTTGGTTTATTTTTATTTTTTTATTTCGAGTTCTCTGATTTAATCATTTTTATCGATATAAAAATTAATTTTTATCTTAATTTTCAATTACAATGATTTTATAACTACACTTTTTTCTATAGATTGCAATGTTACAACAAAAAAGAATGAGAAGTGAATCTTCATCAGATTCCAACCTTTGGATGCATTGGCTCGATGAGTTATTGGATGAAGGGGAAGAAAGCATTTCCGAAGAATCTTTTTCAGATGATATTGATCACCTAACAAAGTGACCATAACACTGATTCAGAGCAGTCAGCAGACGAAGGCAGCGACAAAATTCACAAAATTGATTTATATCGGGAAAGATGTAAAAGCAAAGTGGATGACCAGTTTGACTTAAAAAAAAAAAATTCTAAACCACTTGCAGAAAATATAATAAAGAAGCTTTCTAGAACACAAGGAATAGCTTCGAAGAGGAGCTCAGAAATTAAATTACACGAGCTCTTTTTTGATAGTAATGTTCATGACAATTGTACTGTCAACAAATGTTTACATCGGCAATCCGAAATATAAATATTCACGTGCGACATGCCAGGCCTACAGATGAAACAGAACTTCGAGCTTTGTTTGAGCTTTTATACTTGACAGGGAGCTTTGGAATGTCCAGGACAAATGTTCAAAAATTATGGGACAACTTCAAAGGCAAGGGTTAGAGTCTTGTTATCTTTCGATGAGTAAACAAAGGTTAGCCTTGTACAATATATATGACACACACACTTTTTATTATAGGTTTATTTCGTGGCAAATGCTAACGAAAACTCACCCCTGCACAAGAAAGTGACACCAAAACTTATCAATACATGGACCAATTCGACAACTACGGCTTGAAAACGTGCCATCAAATCAGCAAAAACTGTATGGTTAAATTCCGAAATAAAGCGCTGGTGTGCTACTCGTGATGAAATTGCACTGAAAAAATACTGGCTACAACAGGAACTTACGTTCCGATTACATCCTCTACAGTAGATGGCGATTGAAAAGAGCGCGAGGACGAGTCCT